ATTAACTCCTAACCCGAATCCTTAGGCGCTCACCCGGAAACCCTCACTGAGTACTTTGCCCGGGCTCCCAGCATCACCATGATCTTGTCCAAGACGTGCATGCTCTCTTGCTTGGGCTGGGCTTGCGGCTTCAGGAGGGCTGCATGGTGGGGTTGGTTTCTTTTCTTTCGGGTCTTTGGGAATAAGGTTCTTACAATGGACTCGGGCCAAACCCTGCAAGACTCGCAAACCCCAAACCCTCCCAACTGCAGCGAAGCCGAAGTCTTGCCCTGACTGAACCTTCCCCCCTTCACAAAAAAAAAAGACACAGCAGCACGCATGATTATGATGACGATGATGATGGTGAGTATCTATATGTGTTCATATTTGTTGTTGCTATTAACTACATTCTTTATGCTGCTAACAGTTAGTAACAATGTAATTGCCTAAGCCTCTGGCTACACTATTGTCAAGTTTGTTCTTTCGACTCAACTGTTGTTTATTCTTTCTGGTTACAAGCAGAGGGATGATCGTGATATTATTGTACTCAATCTTGCTGAAACCTGCTGATTATAAAATAGTACTATTGTTCTTGTTAGCCAGTATTCAGTGTTACAACAGGCAAAACCACGAATAATCTAGCTAAGTCAAAGTGTTTATTTAATTATTCATCACTTATACGGCAGTATGTTTTGATTAGTGTTGACATCATATCATACACAAGTTCATAAAGCTGCTTAATTATTATACAGAACCACTCAAAGAAAATAGATGCATATCCAGGACACACATGTTCTGCGTCCAAATTAAGCAATCAGGAAACTGAGTGTTTTTATTATTGATACTATTAGAATATGAATTGGGATCGTACCGGTGATAGGCAGGCCCCTGTGAGAAATAGTGTGCTGATGATGAGTTATTTAAAAATTATTGTTTAAATTGTTACAACTAGCGATAGTATCACAAATTGAATAATAAGAAATAGCTAACAAACAATATACTTTATTGACAATGGCCTGTATGGACATTGATTATCAATTAGTAACTCTGAACAGCACACTAACAAGTATTCTGCAAGTTAATTGTTCATGACAGGGTTCCCATATTATTCATCTATGATTAAGAATACAAGCCATTCAGGCTTCGAATGCAAATCTATTATACTATGAGCCATTCGTGATAAGGTTAAAGTATGCACATTATTGCTAATACTTTTTAGTTTATTAGTTTTTCACATTCATTGTAATTTCACCTTTGTATTTTTTGAATATAAATATTACTAAAATTATTAATATGAGACTTAATAAATATTTGTATTTAATACATCATTAATAATACTAGTATTAGTAATATTTAATTACTAATTTAATTAGTGTATTAGTATTATTAGTTCTGTTGTTACAAATTATATTGAAATATCAGTATCATAAGTACTAGTATTTAAATAAATTTAATTATAATAATAATTTATGTAACATTAGTATTAGGATTTAATTAGTATTAGTATTAAACAAATTAGTATTAGCATTAATATTAGTATTAGTAGTTATTATTAGTAGTATTATTATATTAGTATTAGTATTATTAGTATTATATTAGTATTCTTATTATTGATATTAATATTAATATTAATTATAATTAAATGAATATTAATTAGTTATTATTAGTATTATTAGTATTAATTAATAGTAATAATATTAGAATTTAATAATAAAGGTTCGAAGGAGGGGAGGTGTTCGGCGAGGGTTCGGCGAACGCCGGCGGGGTTCGACGAACTTCGGGCGAAGGGTCGGGTCTTGCCTTTCCAAAGTGTTGCCCCCTTCTGTGTTGCCCTGAATAGTTATAACAGGATAAGGAACCCCCAAAATAGTACTGGTAATTATGAGGCCCCTGTATTACGTACGGCTTCGGGCCTCTACGGTTTGAGAAACTGACGAGAGTCTTGGGTGGTTTAAGCTGTTTGGGATCCCGCTCGGTTTTCCCAGCACCAGGGATCGAGAACCTCCTGGAATGCAGGAACAGGCATGGAGTATGCACAAACATCCGCATGACTGGAAGCTCATCATCACCACAACCACCATCAGACATGTCAGCATGTCGATACCTGCAAGAATATTAGCCATAATCACAGTATTGGATGACATCGTCAGAACTATAGTAACTATCATCATACTACTATTCCCAGCAATGGCCCAGCAAGTCACGCAAAACTTAAAACGAGCCAACCCTCAACCTTGAAACCCTACTTTGACCTACAAAACCCCAGTCTTTTGTAGGTTCTCATTGTAAACCCTAATATGTAAGCAATAAGGACCCTACAAAAAGGTAGGTTCTGGTGGGTGCAGGTAAACCCTGCCCTGACTTTGATGAAATTTGAAAGCACCTGCAAAGCAGCCTCCAAATCTATGGGGTGTCTGAAAAAGTTACAAGGAGTATCTCTTACAGGCTTACAGTTCATATAAGTATAGTCTTATGTACCGCCAAAACACCATTCCACATGTTACGCCCCCCATTACAAATCCTATAACCCCATTAACCCGTATACCAAACCCAACAAGATCCCTGTAACACCCCATAAGATCTCCACGAACCCCCTATTCGACTTGCAAGTATGAAAATGGTGGTTCTCCAAATTAAGCTCCCTTTTGGGCCTTGTTGTTAACGGTGTCGCCTTCGTTTAACTTCCTACAAAATACACCGAATTTAGAAAACTATCCGTGAATGTGCTCCTACAAGCAAAACCTTTTAACCCTTAGCCTTAACCCTTAACCCTAAACCGTATACCACTACACCCTAAACGCTAAGCCATCCTAAATCCCTGAACCTACGCATGTGTTTTGCTTATTAGTTCCCGGGCCTCGAAGTCGGTGCTGTCGAGCCAGTTGCAGAACCTGCACCCCGACGGAGGCCGAAGCTGAGGGTGTTATATGGTTGCAGTTTGAGAGGGTTTTAGACACAGGGTTTCTGCGAAGAAGTGGCCTAGGTTAAATCAAGGGAAACATTTATGCAACCTTGATGCATAAACACAGCATGGTTCAGCATGACCGAAGGCAGTCGCTTTCTTGAGACGGTCGACGTGAAGAAACAGAGACGACGTCCAAGTACATGGAAAAGCCTCAACCGCACGAAGATGCCGCGCTTCCACCACCAGACTCCAAGCTTCGGGGCAGCTTGCGGCCGACACTGCTCGAAAAGAAGCAGCGCGAAGGCCAAGCGAAAATGCTTCGTCTTTGTTTGTCCTTGATACTTGGCCTGCTCTTGGTTCTGGAGATGGCTCTCTTCCTGTTTCTGCACGTGGAAGTCGAAGTGGCG